TTCAGGAATTTATCCTGAACATCCAAGCTTCTCTACCCACAGAACTGATCCTTATGGACCTGTTCCTCGTTACAAGGGGAAATGTGAGATAGATCCAGTAACACAAAGAAGCTTCTGCAATGGGAAGATAGTTGGGGCCCAACATTTTGCAAAAGCTGCAATTGCTGCTGGAGCGTTTAATCCTGATGTTGAGTTTGCATCTCCATTAGACGGCGATGGTCATGGAAGGTAATGCTCCTGATGATACACTTCACTCTTATTAAGTAATTTGTTGTGCTTTGTTGCACTAAAAATGCCACACATGAAAAAAAAATCTGCTTATAACTTCCAAACCTGTGAGCATCTTGTTTCAAATGATGATGGTTGGCCTGTAAAGTAAACCTTTCCGTTCCAAGCACCATCTTCATATTTAATCAATGTGATTGTTTGCAACGTTGGTTTTGACAGAAAGTCATTCTGGTCATGTGAAAAATGGCACGGATTATCTGATATATGTTTACCTTTTACCCCTCCCTCAACAGTCATATAGCTGCAATTGCTGCTGGAAACAATGGAATTGCGGTGCGAATGCATGGCTACGAATTTGGCAAAGCAAGTGGCATGGCTCCACGAGCTAGGTAAGTTTTGATTTCCTTGGAATTTCTGAACAAAGTTAAACCTTGTGCAGCCAACAGCAATGCTAAATTACCTACCTCAAAGATAGGCTTTTGCTTTGTTCTATCTTTGTATGACTAGCATTATCCTGTTAGGGCAAGTACAGTGCCTGTTTCCTTCCAAAAAAAAAGAAAGAAACAATATCTGTTTGGCAGAAGAACATAAGCACTCATCACTCATCAGTAGTCAGTACTCAGTATCATCATAGCTGGATTCACTGAGAGAGCCATTTTGATCTTGCTTCCTCACAATGACTTACCTTTTTGAGTTTGTGCTTGTCACTTTGTCAGGATAGCTGTGTACAAGGTTCTTTACAGGCTTTTTGGTGGTTATGTATCTGACGTCGTGGCAGCGATTGATCAGGTACACTATTAATTTCGCCAAACTTCTCACCAAACTATACATTTGATTTTTATCATTCTTCCCACCAACAGTTTACCGTACTTGATATTGAGTAGATACCAGGGACAACTTTATGACTGTTATGGCCTTGGGGGTTGAAAGATGTGATTTATGATGTTACATTATCTAACAGTTCAACAACATTGTTCATTTGCTTGAGAGGTTGACTGAAAAATAAAGGGATGGTTGGTAAACTATTAACTATATCATTTGGTACTTGGTAGGATTGATCATCTAAGTGACACAGATTTGGCCTTTGGGGTGTATAAACCCCAAAACAGAGCCGCCTGCTTACTTCTAAATCAAGTGGGAGCTATTAACTTTCAGTTATCGAAAAACTCTGGGTTCAAATTCTGGTTTGCATTCACTAGTATGGCTTTGAATTTTAGAGTTCCATTTCATGCAAGATATACAACGAAATACTTGCAATGGTAACTTTAGAAACTCATCTCTAGAATGTAATAACTTGCTACTGTATTATCCATAGACTGTATTGTGCGATGAATGAAAAGAATACCTGCTGGATAACTGTAATGCATGTTAGTACTGTAAGCCTCCAACATATAGGAGCTAATGTATGTGGATGGCTACCTGCAGGCTGTTCAAGATGGTGTTGACATTCTCAACCTTTCTGTTGGACCAAATAGCCCACCAACAGCTACACGGACTACTTTTCTCAATCCTTTTGATGCAGCTCTTCTTTCTGCCGTAAAAGCTGGCGTGTTTGTTGCCCAAGCTGCAGGAAATGGAGGACCATTTCCTAAAACGCTGGTGTCATTCAGCCCATGGATTACCACTGTTGCCGCTGGAGTTGATGACCGCAGATACAAGAATCATTTGATACTAGGAAATGGAAAGCGTATTGCTGGACTTGGAGTATCACGTAAGTTCATATGGATATTTGGTGCATACTGCATAACAAGAAATATCCTGCATTTGTAACATGTAAACAGTATTCTTGGCTCTCTTTTTTTCCCCAAAAAGATGTAGTCCCACTGATCTCTGCATCGATTGATGCATGCTGTCATAAAAGTATCCTTGGCGAGCCCCACACTTATTTATAGTGCTAGTGTCCACACATGGACTCTACCTCGAGTTCCCATTGTACTATGTACCCAGACTCTTATTAGATCCTAATATACTACTTATCCAGCATCTTTTCATCTGATTGTGAAAATGCTTTGGTTGGAAAATGTGTTTTGTTCTCTTTGTAGGCTCTTGATTGTAGAGTTGAAGTCCTTCTGTGTAATCTTGTAATAACTGTCAACAAATGTCCATTTTATAGTACTGTGACTGGTGCTGGTATTCTGGCAATTAACATTTCTACCTGTGGTTAGTTGACAATTATCTTATCTGACTACAGCTGCAACACATGGAAATAAATCGTTTGGCCTGATTTCTGCTACTGATGCTCTGCTGGGTTCATCTTCAACCAAGTACAGTGCACTAGATTGTCAAAGGCCAGAACTCTTAAATAAGAGGAAAGTTCAGGGGAAAATTCTATTGTGCGGCTATTCTTTTAATTATATTTCTGGGACGGCTTCAATCAAGAAAGTGTCCCAAACAGCCAAGAGTCTAGGTGCAGCTGGCTTTGTTGTTGCTGTAGAAGATAGTTATCCAGGGACAAAGTTTGATCCTGTGCCTGTCAATATTCCTGGGATTCTCATCACAGATGTCAGCAAAACAAAGGTATTTAGCTTCGATGGAGCCTATTGTGCAGATATGTATAGACAAACACCATTTGTAAAAGTAGATGTGACCTGTACTGTAAATCAGCCTGTTTATTTGTTTTCTGTCAATAAGCTGCTTAGAAGCCAGAATTTAAGTTCACATGCATTAGAATTGGTCTCAAATCTCAAGGAACCAACTTGCAAATACTTCCAGAGCAGTGATGTGGATTGTATGCATTGCTGCTGTTGTAGAATTAGTTAAAAAAAACCATGTAAGTTCTATAATGATTTTTCTGATATAGCACATTGACATCAATTTGGCCATGTAGGATCTTATAGACTACTACAACTCCTCTACAACAAGAGACTGGGCTGGACGGGCAACAGCGTTCCAAGCAACAGTCGGTATTGCAGATGGTTTGGCACCAACACTGTTCAATTCAGCTCCCCAGGTTGCGTTGTTCTCTTCCCGAGGGCCTGATGTAAAAGATTTTAGCTTCCAAGATGCTGATGTTCTTAAACCTGATATACTCGCTCCTGGCAATCTTATATGGTCCGCATGGGCACCTAATGGAACAGATGAAGCAAACTACGCCGGTAAGTTTGTCAGACTTTATCCCTCAGTAATGGCACACAAGCTTGTTTCAGGATGATCTTATAATTTGTTAATCTATTTTAAATAAGAAATGCTGCTTTGATTCCTCTTATGCCCACATGCTGAATGCTTTAGGACCTGATCTAGTTTAAATAATCTTGTCCCTTGTAATGGTAGTAATCAATAAAGTTGAAAGACAGCCATTCTGTCTGAGGCTCTGAGCTGACCCAAATTCTCTGCATGCCAAAAAAAATAGGGGAAGGATTTGCAATGATGTCTGGAACTAGCATGGCTGCACCACATATTACTGGCATTGCAGCACTAATAAAACAGAAGTATCCCAAGTGGAGCCCGTCAGCAATAAAGTCCGCCTTGATGACTACTGCCAATACGATCGACAAAGGGAGCCATCCTCTCAGAGCGCAGCAATACTCCACGTCAGAAATGATGACGCTTGCACGGGCCACACCATTTGATTATGGCAGTGGCGCGGTTAACCCAAAAGCTGCCCTGGATCCTGGGCTAGTTCTAGATGCAAGTAAGTTGATTTTCTTTATGCAAGTCTATTGTGAATTTCTCTTCTGCCCTACTGTGCATTTGTGTTGCAAGTCTGTTGTTAAATAAGCATGTCCCTTCCATGTTATTATTACCATAGTGATGCCATATTCAAATCTAACATTGCAATGCTTGTGTTGGCAGCTCACCAAGATTACATCACATTTCTGTGTTCCATCCCTGACGTTGATCCAAGCGAAGTATCAAACATAACCGGCTCACGCTGCGGCTCCGGCCCAAAGGGGCAGCAGCCCTGTGACCTCAACATCCCCTCGATCACGGTGTCACAGCTCAAAGGCACACAGACCGTGAAGCGGACAGTCACGAACGTGGCCGACGAGGCGGAGACCTACACCATCATGACCAGGATGTCGCCGGAGATCGCGCTGGATGTCTCGCCTCCCGCGCTGACGGTGCTCCCCGGGTCATCTAGAGAGATCACCGTGACCCTCACGACGAGGTCGGTGACGGGCACCTACAGTTTCGGCGAGATCACGATGAAGGGCGACCGGCGCCACCTAGTCAGGATCCCAGTGGTTGCTATGGGGTTCTAATAGGGCTATGGTTCCCTGACAATGACTGCTCGAGCTGAGGAGTGTTGTAATATTTTGTAGTTTGGTAGGAAAAATAAGAGCCGACGTAATTCGGTAATGATGTAGTATGTCTGTTAATGTGTTATGATGGTGCTCCAGGTTGTAAAAATACGTTCGACAACTACACAGGAGGTTGGAAAGTGGAAGTTGTAAGGCAGAATTTTCTTCACCGAGATGCAGAGGCTATATTGAACATCCCCTTGAATTATGCGGGAGGCGAAGATACAATTGCTTGGGCCCTAGAAAAATCCGGCATCTACTCTGTTAAATCAGCGTATCGTTCTCTTGTGACTCACAACGAGCTTAGAACTCTAGAGGAAGGGACGATTACAGAAACTTCAAGGACAGATAAACATATGTGGGATGCTCTTTGGAAACTTCATGTGGTACCCAAAGTACGAGTCTTCTGATGGCATGTCTTGAGAGGTATTCTCCCGGACTCTGTCACTCTTGAGAGGTATTCTCCCGGACTCTGTCACTCTTCAGTATCGACACATCAAAACTCATGGCTTATGCGACATCTGCAAAGCCATGAATGAGGATCTGATGCACGCACTCATATATTGTGTGCACGCCAAAGCTTTCTGGATAGCAGCGAGGGATCGGTTTGAATTTTCACTTCCGAGACTTCATCCAGTTTCTTGGGCTAGAGATATCTTGCTCGATGACATGTTTTCTGGCGACATAAGGTTCAAGATTATTACCATTATGCACTCCATATGGACCTCACGGAACCACTGGACACATGACAGGGATGGTTATGACCCTGTTCAGGCGATCAAATGGGTGCATGAATCGTTGACAATATTGGAATTGCCAGCAAGTAAATCTAAGCTTTCTCCCATGCAGTGTTGGCGGCCACCGGACGTGGGGTGGGTGACAATCAACACAGATGGTGCGATCAATTCCGACGCTATGAAAGGTGGAGCAGGTGGTGTTGCTCGCTCGCACCTAGCGTTCCTAGCAGCATGGAGCAAGTCACTGCCCGGCGTGACAGACCCCTTCATTGCCGAGCTCAAAGCATTCCGGGAGGGAGTGATCTTCGCCAACCTCCGTGGATACTCACATGTGGTCATGCAGGTCGACTGCCTTGAGTTAGTCAACCTATGGCACTCGCGAGACAATACGTGATCTATTGCCTCGCCCATTCTTTCAGAACTAGGTGATTTGATAACCAGTTTTGCTTCCTTCTCTGTCATTCATGTCGGAAGGACTATCAATTAACCGGCTCATCTATGTGCCCAGCGACCTGGTGCCCAAGATGGAACGGAGAGCTGGCTCGATGTGAGCCCTAGTTTCCTTATTAGTAGCCTACGGGCGGATTGTAATCGACTTCTAGTTCATTAATAAAGCTCCCTAGTTCGATGCAAAAAAAAAGGTTGTAAAAATACGTGGAGTTTTGTAGCCTATTTATATGACATGATAGGTACGTAGATCTACCCATCGAATCCAATCTTCTGCAGTTGCTTTTTGTCCGTTCGGGTCGGCCAGGCGGACATGGACGTTCGCTTCCGTGTTTGGGTTGGCGTATGCGCCCAACACTACGCTCGCCCGACCCATTTTGACGGCGCCGACAAAAAACTAACTATGCATGCATATTTAAAATAAAAACAACTTAATTAAACATGAAAGCCGGCCAGGAAGGCCGGCGAGAGTCCACGCGTCCACATTAGCATTAAATAAAACTAAAAAAAACTAAACTACGAGGTGGTGCGCTGCCCTAGACGTCGTCGTCGTCGTCCTCGGGGTCAATGAGCGTTGGCACAGTGCCAGCCCAGGGGAACGGCGTGTTCCAGGCAGTGGCGATGTAGGCCGCGGGCAGCTGTTCCGGCGCGGGGGGCTGTGCGACCGCCTGTGCAGCCGCGGCCTGGCGCGCCTCCTCCTTAGCCTCGTGTGCCTCCTCCTCGAGGTCGCGCTCGAGCATCTCCTCGTACTCACCGCGACGACGCTCCTCAGCCAGCCGGTGCTGACGCCACATCTCGAGGTATGCCTGCTCTTGCGCCAGGGACGCCCCCATCCAAACCGGTGGCGCAGACACCCACTCGCGTAGCACTCCCGTCCAGGAGTAGCGCTTGATGGGCTCGGGCTCAGGCTCCGGCTCGGCCTTGACGCTGCGTCAGGGAGGGGACAGCGGGGTCATCGGCGGCACCACGCAATCCCCGGTCGCGGAGAGGGCAAGGGCCTGCGCCATGGCCGCCTCGTACCGAGCCTCCTCTTCCTCCACCGCCTCCACCCTGCGCCGCTCGTCCTCCTCGCTCTTGCGCTAGACCGCCGCAAGGGTCGCCTGGTAGGCGTCCTCCGCCGCCTGGTCCTCCTCGCGGACAACGAGCGGGGGCGGCGGCATGCTGCGGTCGACCTCGCGCACGCCGCGTCGCCTCGTCTCCTCGTGCTCGAAGGCGAACCACCTCTTCCAGTTCGGCGAGTCGGATGCGTAGGCGGCGTCTTGGCGCTGCCCCGGCGTCAGCAGCGCCCGCCGGTGCCACACCTCCTCCGCGTGCGCCCTAGCCGTCCGCGGCGCTGCTGGCACTGGGATCCTATCTGGATCCAGATGCCAGTCGTGCGGCAGGATCACGTCGGGGTACGGCAGAGGCACGCGGTGCTGCCAGTGCCACTCCGCCTGGTGCATGCTACGTCTCGAGCTAGCGTTGGTTTTCCCCGAAGAGGAGGGGGTGATGCAGCACAGTAGCATAAGTATTTCCCTCAGTTTTTGAGAACCAAGGTATCAATCCAGTAGGAGGTCACGCGCAAGTCCCTCGTACCTGTACAAAATGGTAGCAACTCGCAACCAACGCTTAGGGGTTGTCAATCCCTTCACGGTCACTTACGAAAGTGAGATCTGATAGAGATAATATTTTTAGTATTTTTGGTATAAAGATGCAAAGTGAAAAGTAAAAGCAAAACAAGTAAAATAAAGTAATGGAGATTGATATGATGAGAATAGACCCGGGGGCCATAGGTTTCACTAGTGGCTTCTCTCAAGAGCATAGATATTCTACGGTGGGTGAACAAATTACTGTTGAGCAATTAATAGAATTGAGCTTAGTTATGAGGTTATCTAGGTATGATCATGTATATAGGCATCACGTCCGTGACAAGTAGACCGACTCCTGCCTGCATCTACTACTATTACTCCACTCATCGACCGCAATCCAGCATGCATCTAGAGTATTAAGTTAAAAACAGAGTAACGCCTTAAGCAAGATGACATAATGTAGAGGAATAAATTCATGCAACATGATAAATACCCCATCTTGTTATCCTCGATGGCAACAATACAATACGTGCCTTGCAACTCTTTCTGTCACTGAGTAAGGACACAACAACATTGAACTCAAAGCTAAGCACTTCTCCCATTGCAAGAACTACCAATCTAGTTGGCCAAACCAGATGGATAATTCGAAGAGACTTGCAAAGATAACTCAATCATACATAAAAGAATTCAGAGAAGATTCAAATATTATTCATAGATAAGTTGGATCATAAACCCACAATTCATCGGTCTCAACAAACACACCGCAAAAAGAAGATTACATCGAATAGATCTCCACGAGAGAGGGGGAGAACATTGTATTGAGATCCAAAAAGAGAGAAGAAGCCATCTAGCTACTAGCTATGGACCCGAAGGTCTGAAGTAAACTACTCACACTTCATCGGAAGGGCTATGGTGTTGATGTAGAAGCCCTCCGTGATGGATGCCCTCTCCGGCGGAGCTCCGGAACAGGCCCCAAGATGGGATCTCGTGGATACAGGAAGTTGCGGCGGTGGAATTAGGTTTTTGATTCCGTCTTTGGTCTAATGGGGGTACGTAGGTATATATAGGAGGAAGGAGCACGTCGGTGGAGCTCCGAGGGGCCCACAAGGCAGGGGGCGCGCCCAGGGGGGGCCCTCCACCCTCGTGACCTCCCCAGAAACTTCTTGGAGTAGGGTCCAAGTCTCCTGGATCACGTTCGGTGAGAAGATCACGTTCCCAAAGGTTTCATTCCGTTTGGACTCCGTTTGATATTCTGTTTCCTCGAACTACTGAAATAGGCAAAAAACAGCAATTCTGGGCTGGGCCTCCGGTTAATAGGTTAGTCCCAAAAATAATATAAAAGTGGAAAATAAAGCCCAATATAGTCCAAAATAGTAGATAAAGTAGCATGGAGCAATCAAAAATTATAGATACGTTGGAGACGTATCAGGCATCCCCAAGCTTAATTCCTGCTCGTCCTCGAGTAGGTAAATGATAAAAAGAGAATTTTTGAGGCGGAGTGATACTTTGGCATAATTTCAATGTAAATCTTCTTAATCATGGTATGAATATTCAGATCCGAAAGGTTCAAGACAAAAGTTCATATTGGCATAAAAATGATAATACTTCAAGCATACTAATTAAACAATTATGTCATCTCAAAATAACATGGCCAAAGGAAGTTCATCCCTACAAAATCATATAGTTAGGTTATGCTTCATTTTCGTCACACAAAGATGTTCCCAACTTCTATACCCCCGATGACAAGCCAAGCAATTGTTTCATACTCAAATAATCTCAAACTTTTTCAACCTTCACGCAATACATGAGCGCGAGCCATGGACATAGCACTATGGGTGGTATAGAATATGACGATGGGGATTGTGTGGAGAAGACAAAAAAGGAGAAAGTCTCACATCAACGAGGCTAATCAATGAGCTATGGAGATGCCCATCAATTGATGTTTATGCAAGGAGTAGGGATTGCCATGCAACGGATGCACTAGAGCTAAGAATGCTCAACAAAAGAAAACTAGTGGGTGTGCATCCAACTTGCTTGCTCATGAAGACCTAGGGCATTTTGAGGAAGCCCATCGTTGGAATATACAAGCCAAGTTCTATAATGAAAAATTCCCACTAGTATGAACAAGACAACTTATGAGACTCACTATATGAAATCATGGTGCTACTTTGAAGCACAATATATGAGACTCACTACATGAAGAACAAGGTGCTACTTTTAAGCACAAGTGTGGAAAAAGAGATAGTAGCATTGCCCTTTTTATTTTCTCCTTTTTTGGGCCTTTCTTTTTTTTCTTTTTGGCCTTTCTCTCTTCTTTTTTTTTGATTGGGCAATGCTCTAATAATGATGATCATCACACTTCTATTGATTACAACATAATGATTACAACTCGATACTAGAACAAGATATGACTCTATATGAATGCCTCCGGCGGTGTACCGGGATGGTGCAATGAATCAAGAGTGAGATGTATGAAAAATAATGCATGGTGGCTTTGCCACAAATACGATGTCAACTACAAGATCATGCAATGGCAATATGACAAAATTAAAGCATGTCATGATGATGATGATGATGATGGTGGAAGTTGCATGGCAATATATCTCGGAATGGCTATGGAAATGCCATGATAGGTAGGTATGATGGCTGTTTTGAGGAAGATATAGAGAGGTTTATGTGTGAAAGAGCGTATCACATCATGGGGTTTGGATGCACCGGCGAAGTTTGCACCAACTCTCAATGTGAGAAAGGGCAATGCACAGTACCGAAGAGGCTAGCAAATGGCGGAAAGGTAAAAGTGCGTATAATCCATGGACTCAACATTAGTCAAAAGAACTCATATACTTATTGCAAAAATTTAGAAGTCATCAAAAATCAAGTACTACGCGCATGCTCCTAGGGGGATAGATTGGTAGGAAAAGACCATCGCTCGTCCCCGACCGCCACTCATAAGGATGCACAAGCCAGGTACACTTCATGCTTCAAATTTGTTACACAACATTAACCATATGTGCATGCTACGGGACTTGCTAACTTCAACACAAGTATTTCTCAAATTCACAACTACTCAACTAGCACGACTATGATATTATCACCTCCATATCTCAAAACAATTATCAATCATCAAACTTATCTTAGTATTCAACCCACTAAAAAGAAAGTTTCACATATCTTGAATACCAAGTATATTAACATTACGCAAATTACCATGCTATTAACGACTCTCAAAATAATCTAAGTGAAGCATGAGAGATCAAGTTTCTTTAAAACAAACCACCACCGTGCTCTAAAATATCTAAGTGAAGCACTAGAGAAAAAAATGTCACGCTCAAAAAGATATAAGTGAAGCACATAGAGTATTCTAACAAATTTCAGTTCA